CACATGTTGACCTTGGGGTATTAATATTTATGAACACTTTATTTGGCATGAGCATATAATAAAACTTTATGTTTTGACCTTTATGGGTAACCAACCATTTCTTGACAGATACTACTATGGAATGGTTACAGCTGCTACTGGTCCTTTTTTTACCTACCTGATGTGTGTGTGTGTGTGTGTGTGTGTGTGTTTATACTTACACAGAACTACAATAACAGTCCTGCGATGGTTTGACAAATAGCAAAATGAAGTAGCAAACAATAATAATGAAGAAAATGAAGGTGAGTTTTTATTTTTATGAATATAAAAATAAAGTTTTGTTTGAAACATTGTAACAATATTTCAAAATTAGGTAAGCATCCTGATTTGCAACATTCAAATATCAAGGCATTTTCATTTTGTGTTTTATGAAACTGGTTTCATTTTGCCTTTCCTTTTATTTTTTTACATTTTCCCTTTTAATAATTTAGTTGTGTTTTAGTTTTAATACTACCTTTTGTTAAAATTAGTCTTTTGTCACAAATTATTCTAATGATGATCAAGGAAACCACCCTTTTTTGAATGCAGCTAATCAAATAGATAAATGTACACAGACTTTTATCTAGACTTCTCTGTGATAAAGGGTCATAGTAATATTTAAGTTTCATAACAATTCCATGAGTATCCCATCACATATAAAGTGACTCTTTGCAAGAATAGTAGCAAGCTAAAAGTGATGGTGGAGTCTTGAATATGGGTTTCTGAGCTCTAAATTCAGCAATGCTTTAGGCTAAGTACCACATCCTGATGTTATGTAAGTATTGCTCTATGTTCTGCAAAACTTAACATTGTTATTCTTTCCTTCTCCTCCCCACTAGGAGGTTCAAGGTCCAAGTTTTGCAGTATCCCAAGGTTCTGGAAGCAGCATCTCTATAGTTTCTAAACTGGAACCAGATTTTTATCTAAGTTCTATCTGAATTAGTTTGGCACCAGTTTGCCTTAGGCAATGACGCCTGTTTGAATTTTTCTACTTTTACCTCCTTGAAATTCCCATTTGTCTCTGTTGGGCTTTGCATTTGTTCTATTGTTCATTGTATTTCATTTATTTATGGAATTAGCCTGTCCATTTTTTACACTGCTCTATGTGCATGTGTGGAGAGGAAAAACTAATCATGTTGTGCACGTGGAACTTTTCTTATCTTCTCTGCTTCCCTCCCCCAACAAAGCAAATATTTGGCCATCTGCTACAGCTCCCTCTGTTGCTCCTGGTGTTCCAACGTGTTTCCCAGGGTCAAAGGCAGGTGGTCTAACAAATATAATTTGGTGCAGAGAGATGGCCAAAATGAGTAATAGCTGGTGGTGCTTTCCAGCTGAACTAGTAAGATCAAGAGGAAAGAAATCCAGATGGGGTCTCATTATCTTTAGCACTCTCCACCGCAGCAGCTCAGGCTTTGAGTTGCATATTTATATCCTAAGCCTCTTCTGTTGTCACTGAGAAGTGTGTAGCAGTTTTAACAAATAATTTACAGAGGCTGTTGTACTGAATTAAAAGCTAAATTGTTTTTTTAAAAAATCCATTTAAAATAAAACATCTCGCTTTTATTAATACTAAGCCACATAAAAGATTTTTTTATGATTGTAAAGAGCCCACAGTTACCTTGTGATAAGATGGATAGCCATTCAATTTTATAAATAAATAAATTTGTAGAACACACTGAAAGTAAACAGAAAACAGAATAACAGAGTTGAAGGTCTTCTAGTCCAACCCCCTGCTTAGGCAGGAAAGAGTTATTTACATGTAACTACGATTGTTTAAATGGTCATAATGAATGTACAAATTTATATAAATACACAGACCCTTGTTTGGAACCTTCTAGATTACAGAATTGAGGGGAGCTATGCAAGAAAGGTCATAAAATGGTGCATAACTCACTTAATAACTGTGTTGTTGGCAATGGAAGTTTTGGGCTCAATTGTGGTCATACATTATGAGCCGAGGTGGCGCAGTGGTTAGAGTGCAGCACTGCAGGCCACTTCAGCTGACTGTTATCTGCAGTTCAGCGGTTCAAATCTCACCGGCTCAGGGTTGACTCAGCCTTCCATCCTTCCGAGGTGGGTGAAATGAGGACTCAGACTGTGGGGGGCATATGAAATACAAATACAACAGTTCTCACTGCATATGAGAACTGTTGTATTTGTATTTCATATGCCCCCCACAGTCTGAGTCCTCATTTCACCCACCTCGGAAGGATGGAAGGCTGAGTCAACCCTGAGCCGGTGAGATTTGAACCGCTGAACTGCAGATAACAGTCAGCTGAAGTGGCCTGCAGTGCTGCACTCTAA